GGAGACTGAAGGGAAAGGGATTACAGTGTGGCTATTCCCCCTGTGGAGTGATTTCTCACTTTCTGTCTCTCTGTCTCTGTCTCTCCCATGAATACATGTGCCCTTTAGCAAAAATCTAATAATAATAAATAAATAGTTCTTTAAAAAGAATGGTCCCTAGTGGCAGGGTAGAGATGGAAGCCTAACTAGAGTAGTTTGAGGAGAGAATGGCAAATGTCTCAAGAACAGAGACATCAAGTATAGGCAGCTATTTTGAAATGCTTCTTTAGAAAGAATGACATAAGGACAGATTAGAATCTTTTTAAAAATGTGTATTGGAGGGCAAGCCAGAGGCGCTTGTAAGACAGTTAGATCTTGCATGACTGACTACACATTTCTAGTCCCGGACCTGGCAACTTGAAAAACGTGGTGTGTGTACCCAAAATCCTGAGAGGAGAACAGAGGAAAAGGAACTGCAGTGTGACCATCTCTTCTGGGAAGTGCTTTCTCACTTTCCTTCTATCTCCATCCCCTCCCCAGCAAGTACAAGTGCCCTATAACAAAATAAAAAAGAAAAAGAAAAAAAAAAAAGAAAGCCCAAACTCAAGTTCTGTTCTTTATTTCTGTGAAATATACATTAAAATTTGCTTCTAGAGAAAGGTAAAGTGAGTGTTATTAGCAGAGGAAGATTCAATCTTGAGTTTCACCTAACCCATGAAAATGACTATGCCTTTCTTAAGAGAGAGGAATGCAAGCTGGGATGTTCAGACCCAATGGAGGGTTTTATAAAAACCTTTGGTCAGCCAGCATACCTCAACTGCTTAGTACAGTCACTATGAACTAAAAGTTCCAAATATTTAACTGTAAACAGTAATGAGATTCTGAAATAGGAATGTGTTTCTGTTCATTTGATTTTAGAGACTTTGGAGAAAGAGTCTACATGATTTGTGGAAAGCACACAGACTTTGGAATCTGATAAACATGGGGTTTGAATCCTGTGCTGATATTAACTATATAATCTTGGGCAGTTTTGCTTAACCACTCAAATTCAGTTTCCTTTTTCATAAAATGCATTTTACCTGGCACATAAACACTCAAACTCTCCATATGGGACCAGCAGTTAGCATAATGGCTATGTCGCTGGACTCCCATCTAGTTGACTGTGGTTCATGTCCTGGACCTGGTGGCTTAAACTCACGCCAGGCGCGTGTGTGCAGGCCCAAGATCCCGAGAGGACAATGGAGGAGAAGGGATTGCGGCATGACCATCCCCCCTGGGGGTGATTTCTCGCTTTCTGTCTGTCTCTGTCTATCTGGCGAGCATGCGTGCCCTATAGCCAAAACCTCTCAAAAAAAATAAAAATAAAAAAAATAAAAAATAAAACAAACAAACAAAAACCTCTCCATATAAAGAGAACAGTATAATCAGTGAAGCCCTTTGAAACTATTAATCTAATGGCATTAGTAAAATGATTAAGAAAAACAAGAATGGATAGGATTACAAATAAACAATTAGTTTGAATCCAAGTTGTGGCAATGGGAATTAAAGAGAGATGAAACCTTTTGGAAGAAAAAATGCACAGGGTTGAATGTGAGGGCCATGAACAAGAAAAGAATCAAAGGTGTAATCAAGGTTTCAAAGTCTCATGTCAAATTATAACAGTAACATGACTGGAGCTTCAGTGAATGATGATGACAAATGGCAGACATGACAAATTAAACAGTTTTTCCACCCAGATGCAACAGTTTTCATCTTAGACAACTTGTCTATACCTAAACCAATAGAAATAAAATACAAACTACATGCAAGTATGTAATTTTTTTTTTTTCCCCGCTATGGAGTAAGTAGGCTTGCTAGAGACAGACAAAAAGTGAGAAATCAGCCCTGGGGGAGGGGATGGCCATGCTCCAATCCCTTGTCCATTCTCCTCTTGGAATCTGCGCACACACACATCTAGTGTGTTTTTCAAATCACTGGGTCCAGATTTGAACTACATTGCAGGCCATGTGGGATCCAGTTGCCTTAATCACCATCTGCCTGGCTGTCTCAATTTAAAATTTTCTAGTAACCACTTTAAGAAGGTTATCAAGAGGGACCAGCAGATGGTGTAATAGTTACATTGCTGCACTCCCACATGATCAACTGTGGTTCGAGTTCTGGACCTAGCGGCTTGAAACTCATGCCGGGTTCATGGGTGCATGTTCCCAAGATTTCTAAAGGAGAATGGAGAAGGGATTGCAGCGTGGCCATGCCCCTGGGGCGTGATTCTTGCTTCCTATCTCTCTGTCTCTGTCTCTCTAACAATTGCACACACCCTATAGCAAAACTCTAAAATTTATATTGATATATATTTTAAAATATATACCGAGGGACCAGCAGTTAGTGTAATGGCTATGTCACTGGACTCCCATGTAGTCAACTGCAGTTCGTGTCCCGGACCCGGTGGCTTAAAACTCAGGCCGGGCACATGTGCATTCGTGTCCAAGATCCCAAGAGGAGAATGGAGGAGAAGGGATTGCGGTGTGGCCATCCCCCTGGGGGGTGATTTCTCGCTTTCTATCTCTCTGTCTGGCAAGCGCAAGTGCCCTATAACAAAAACCTCTCAAAAAAAATTATCTATCTTTATTTTTTATATTATATAAATATATAAAAGTTATCAAGAAAAAGAAAAAATTTTAGTAACAGTTTTTACTTAACCCAACAGATCCAAAGTAGTCTCAACCTGTAACCAGTATTTAAAAAATTAAGAGATATTGATATTTACATTCCTTATTCTTTTTGAACTAAGTCTTCAAACTCTGGTATTTAGTTTACATCGCAATTTAAACTAGCCAGTTATGGTGAGTGGCTATCATATTACACAGCAGAGACTTAAGACTATTAGATACTATAATTCAGCTTTATTACTAAATAAGTTGATAAACCATGATACATCTGATGTTAACACTGCTTAATAATAAAACAAAAGAATGGACTACTTCATAGATAAATCTCAAGTGCTTTATATTAAGTGAGAAAATCAGATTCAAAGGCTATCTCCTCTGTTATTCTGTTTATATGATATTCTGGAAAAGGTCATAAGAACTGAAAACAGACCAGTAGTTGCCTAGGGAGAGGATTAAGGGGGAAGACTTAACTATAAATTCATAAGTAACTTTTTTGGGATGACATAACTTTTTAAGATGATTTTGGTGGGGAGAAGACAATGGAATATCAAGTTTCGCAAAGTAATCTTGTACAGTATGTCTTATTTTTATTATCACAATGGTACATTAATTTAAAAATACTCTTAAATAGGACAGTGTATTTAAAATATGTTCTCCCCTAAGATGTGACACTAAAAGCACACCAACCAAAGAAAAATGAGATAAATTGGGCTTCATCAAAACTAAAAACTTTTGGGACTAGTTCTGTGGTACAGTAGTAATATAGTGCTCAAGAAAAGACAGATTCCTTATGGTGACCACGGTTCAAATCCCTGACCTGGTCAGTCTGAGACAAGCCCAGCACGTGCACAAGTGCCAAGGATCCCGCGGGCTGGAGGATACAGACTCTGTGGAGGGTGCTTCTCACTTTCTCTTACATGCACATAAAGTGCTTTATCATGAATAAAACAAAAAAATTAAACAAGTGTAACAAACAGATGCCTAACAAGTGCTAGTAAGATGCTGAAAAATTGGAACCCACAAACACTGCTAGTGAGAATATAAAACAGGGCAAGTAGTTTGGAAAATACGGTCAGCAGATCGACAGGAGGTTAAGTGTAGGATTGCCACATGACCTAGAAATTCCACTCCTAGGTAAATGACCAAGAGAAAGGAAAACATGGGCACAAATTTGTATATGAATGTTCACGGCAACATTACTCAAATTGTCACACAGTGGAAAAACCCAAATGCCCACCAACTGATAAATGGGTACATAAAATGTGCTGTATTGATTTAATGGATTATTACTTATCAATAAAAAGGAATGACGCACTCTTAGGTGCTGCAATGTGGATATACCTTATAGGGAATCAAGAATGGCAAAAAAAAGGGGGGGGGGGCAAAATATATAAGACATAAGGAATGGAAAATTATTTGTATATATGTTGATGTGATTTATTGCACCAATAGACAGTGTATTTTGGATGGAAAACTAATTTTGTATACTATAATGATGTATAGTGAATTAATGTGAAAAAAAAAAAAGAAAAAATTTTAAAAAAGAAAAAAATATATGTTAAGTGATGGGGCCAGCAGCTGGTATAGTGGTTAAGGCACTGGACTCCCACATGGTCAACCACAAGCTGGAGTCCCAGACACAGCGGCTTGAAACTCACTGGGCACACATGCATGTGTGCCCCAAATCCCAAGAGGCATGGCCATTCCCTCCGGGGGCAGGGGGGTAGTTTCTCATGTTCTCTCTCTCTTCCCCTCTCTGTCTCTGGGGAGTGTATGCATCCTATAGTAAAAATCTCTCTAAAAATATATATACACACGTGTGTGTGTATGTACACACCTAGAGTGTTTCTCAAGTCTCTAGGTTTGGGACTCAAACTAAGTACCAGGCCATAGAGCTGGCCAAAATTATACACTTTAAAAAAGTAAATTATGGACCAGCAGATGGGGTAATGGTTATATTGCTGGACTCTCACATAGTTGACCACAGTTCAAGTCCTGGACCCAGCAGCTTAAATTCATGCTGGGCACATATGCAATGCGTGACAAAGATCCCAAGAAGAGAATGGAGGAAAAGGGACTGTAGTGTGGCCATCCTGGGGGGAGGGAGAGGGCAGATTTCTTGCTTTCAGTCTCTGGTGAGCGCATGCGCCCTACAGCAAAAATCGCTCAATCAATCAATAAATAAAATAGGTGAATTATATCTCAATAGAGTTGTTTTAAAATACTCTTATATATAAAGGGGAAGAATTTCAGTAAATACTAAGAAAATAACTGAATGACCCAAAGAGGTGTCTATACAAGTAAGTGTTTTAGTATATATTGGCATTAAGTTAGGAAAAATGGAAAAACTATTACCCTTTCTACTGAAGACAACTGTTGCTGTAATCCATCACATTTTTTGTTCGCTTCTTCAAAAAGAGTTTTATATTTTTCTATTTGAGACTGTTGTACATTAAGTGTTCGTTGCTGTCTCACACAATCTTCCTCAAAAGTTTTTACTTGAGACTTTAATTCCTGAATTTCATCCTCCTACAGTTATAAAATGATAAATTATGTGAACAAATGTGTAAGGTTTCATATTAATACATAAAAGAAGGAAGAAGTTTATATGATTTTTATGAGATTTTTATACCCATTTCATAAAGAAAAAGTACATTGCATTTTCATCTTCAAAAATGGAAGTCAGATATTTTATTTCCATTTAATAACTTATACTTGTAAATCTAATATGGGGAATTCTAATTGTAACAAGTATTTAAAATTCTTTGGGGCTGGCTCCATAGCCTACTGGTTAAAAGACCTGGACCCCTATATGTATGTCAACTACTGCTCAAATCCTGTCCCTGCTGGTCTGAAACACATGCCAGGCAATGTGTGTATGCATGCCCCAAATCCTGACAGGATGGAGAATGTAGGAGAAAGAATTGTGGCATGACCATATACCAACAGGATCTCAGATCTCTCTCTAGGGAGCACAAATGCCCTCTGGCAATTAAAACAAAAAAATAAAAATAATTTAGCTCTGTGACAGTTCAACATCTCACGATAAGGCTCAACATTTATTGGGTCACTGGAAAAGACATGACACATCTTTGCATAGAAAATTATAGAAAAACCATGTCATGATTTTTCCGATGACCCAATATATATGATTTTTGATATATAAATTTAACTGTGAATTTGCATCTTAATAAAGCTATTCCAAAAATGTAAGCAAAATTGTTTTGGGGTTTTTTTTGGAGTGGTTTTTGCTATAGGGCGCATGCGTTCACCAGCCAGATGGAGAGAGACAGAGAGATAGAAAGCAAGAAATCACCCCCCAGGAGGGATGGCCACGCCGCATTCCCTTCTCCTCTCGGGATCTTGGGCACACACACACATGCGCCCGGCGTGAGTTTTAAGCCACCGGGTCCAGGACGCGAACCGTGGTCGACTACGTGGGAGTCCAGCGACATAGCCATTATGCTAACTGCTGGTCTCAAGCAAAATTGTTTTTTAAATGACTGAGTATTACAGCAATTCTTTTGAGAGGTTTTAAGAACTTACCTTTTTATTGCATTCACATACAACGTTATCCAATTCCTCTTGCATAACACGAAGTTTGGCCTTTAGAAATCTGATCTGTGCTTCTGTGAAATTAAATAATTATATTTACTTTCATTTGCTGAATCTAAGGTGTCATCAACTGCAAGATTATTTACTTACTTTTCAAGTTTTTGCCACTGTGGTGTGTGTGCTCACTAGCAAGAAACAGAGACAGACAGACAGAGGGAAAGTGAGAAATCACTCCCGGGGGGGGATGGCCACACTACAATTCCTTTTCCTCCATTTTCCTCCTGGGATTTTGGGCATGCATGCACACACACCCAACATGATTCCTAAGCTACCAAGTCCAGGACTCGAATTGCAGTTGTCAAATGGAAGTCTAGCACCAGGCCACTTGCTGGGCCCCCATAAGACCATTATTTTATAAGAGGAAAAGTATGTTCAAGATGGGAAATCCAACAGGAGATTCCTATTATGTGAAATGAAGATAGCAAATATTCTGAATGTAAAGATAAGAAATCTACCCAAACAGAAAGGGGAAAAGGAGCTATTTATATCAGAACACTGGAACTGACTAGGAAAGAGGTATGAAAACAAAACTGTAAGTATCTGAACCACCTGAGATATTTTGAGTATATATGTGCACATGCCTGGTATGATTTTCAAACCGCTGGGTCTTAGACTCAAACCATGCAATCAACCATGCGAGATCCAGCTGCCTTAACCACTGTGCCACCAGCTGATCCTGATTTTGTTTTGTTTGTTTTTTTGTTTATTTGTTTGGGAGAGGTTTTTGCTATAGGGCACGTGCGCTTGTGCGCTCACCAGAAAGACAGAGAGAGATAGAGAGGCAGAAAGTGAGAAATCACCCCCCAGGGGGGATGACCACACCGCAATCCCTTCTCCTCCATTCTCCTCTCGGGATCTTGGGCGCACATGCGCCTGGCGTGAGTTTAAGCCACCGGGTCCGGGACTCGAACTACAGTCGACTACATGGGAGTCCAGCAATATAACCATTACGCTAACTGCTGGTCCCTTTGTTTGTTTTTTAGAGAGATTTTCACTGTAGGGCACATGTGCTTGCCAAAGAAACAGACAGAAAGCAAGATGTCAACCCTCCCACCCCTCACCCCCCCACACCCCCACCCCAGAGGGGATGACCATGCTGCAGTCCCTTCTCCTCCAGTCTCCTCTAGGGATTTGGGGCATGCATACACACACGCCTGGCATGAGTTTTAAACCACTATGTCTAGGACTCAAACCACAGTCAGCTACGTGGGAGTTCAGTGATGTAACCATTATGGCATCTGCTGGTCCCCTAATTTTAATGTTTTAATATGCTATGGGGCATTTTGAGTTGAAAACTATTCAATTGAACCAGTAAAATTAAGTTTTTATTTTAACTTTTTTCAATAAAAATATCATACACAAAAGTAAAGAGACCAGCTCAATGAGCCCCACTTACCACCCATTTTCAACAGTTGGTGACTCATGGCCAATTTTATTTTACCCTATAATTCCACAATCATATCTCACAATACTATTCTGAAACAAATCCAAGACACCACAATATATTTTTTCATGCAGGAAATAGCTTCCAAAGATCCCTTTAAAATTGCGATATAAAGATAACAAATAAAGAACAAGGGCCAACCCATGTCTTGGTGGTTAAGGCAGCTGAATCCTGCAAGACTAACTATGTGGTTTAGACTCGGCAACAGTCCAGGCACATGAGCATGTGCCAAAATCCCAAAAGGAGGAAGAAATGAAAAAGGGATTATGGAGAGACCATATTCCATGAAAGGTCCTTTTCCACCTAATCCCCAGACCCCGCCCCCCAGTGAGCACATGCACCCTCTGGCAAATTAACACACACACGAGAAAACCCACCTGTTCCAATGTCTTTACTAACACCAGAGAAGATATCATCATCTATATATTCAGGTAAGCCTTCTTCTTCCAGTTTCCCTTCAATTTTGCTAACTGTTTTTTCAAGAGAGAAGTCTGAGAATTCCTCTGGAATAGCAACATCATTAGCAGTCTGGACATCAGAGTATTTCAATTTATCACTAAAAAATAAAAGTTAAATATATGTATATTTATGTATGTATATAAACAAAATAGGTGCAAGATATGGCTCTTACTCAAATATAGTGGATCAAAATTATAAATTTATGATGAAATCTGTAATTGATACTTTCAAGGACCATGTTACAAAAGATGTAGGAGACTTTCAATGTTTATGACTCACATGACCAACAAAGCCAAAGACGACTTTTATGAGGCCAACTGGTCTAGACCTTTCCTCTAAAACAGTAAACATCAAAATTGAGAATACTAAACTTGGCTTTACAAAGTTAATTTTGGCCTTCTTTAAATTCATTCCAAAGACTGACTCGGCTACTTATATAACATTCTAGGTAATTTTATGTGGCCAAAAATTTGTCCATTTCTTCTAGGTTTCCAGCATATTGGCATAAAGTCAGTTGTAGTAATCACTAATGATCTTTTGTGTATCTGTGATAACTATTATAAAGTTTCTTTTTTCATATCTGTTACTTCTTGGGTTTTTTTTTTTTTTCACATTTCTTTTCCTTCATTAAACCACCTGAAGAACGAGCTTTCTCTTTGTTTTATTACTATTTTGTTCTTTATTTTAGCTCCTTTTCTTCTATTGATTTTGGATTTAGTGTGTTCTTGCTTTTCCTACTCCTTGAGATGTATCACTGTTTATTTGCATTCTATTTTTTTTCCTTATAAGCACTAATTGGTATATAATTTCCTCTTAGTACGCGCTTCGCTGTATCCAAGAGCTCCTAGAGTGTAGTATTTTCATAATTTCAAGAAAATTTTAAATTTTCTTAATTTCTTCAGTAGATTTGAAGTCATTCAGAAGTTTTATATTGAGTTTCCAAGCATTTGTGTATTTTTTTTTGAGAGGTTTTTTTTTTTTTTTTCCACTATAGGGTGCGTGCGCTCGCCAGAGACAGAGAGACAGAAAGCAAGAAAACATCCCCCAGAGAGGATGGCCACGCCGCAATCCCTTCTTCTCCATTCTCCTCTTGGGATCTTGGGCACGCACGCACACACACACGCCCGGCATGGGTTTTAAGCCACCGGGTCCAGGACGCAAACCACGGTCGACTACGTGGGAGTCCAGCAACATAGCCATTACACTAACTGCTGATCCCCATATGGTCAATATTTTCACTGAGGAGTTTAATCTTTTTACATTCGATATTATTGATATGTACAGATCTACCTACACCTGATGTTTTGTTGGTTGGTTCGCTACTTTTTTATTCTATTATTGTGATCTCTCCTATTTGGTACATTTCCATAGCAGAAGGAACTGAATCATTTGTCATCTTTGTGTGACTTTTTTTTTTTTTTTTAGCTAAACAATGATCTTATCCCTTGAGTGCACAAATTTATACAACCAGGGCAGAGGCTGTGGATAACTCATATTTCCAGTTGGGGGGGAGGACTCGCTTGGTCTTATAATAGTGAGGCTATCGGTGAATTCTGCTCTCAATCAGAATCAGATGAAATTTGGCATCCTTATCCTTTCTGTTCCTCTCCAAATGCTTGCTAACAGCAACGGCTTTCTTAATTAAATGGTAGAGATCCTCAGGGAGATCAGGAGCAAGTCCTTTGGACTTAAGGATTCTCAAGATTTTATTGCCTGTCACAAAACGTACTTGTGCAACACGATTTGAGTCCCTCAGGATCACACTGATCTGTGACGGAGTCAGACCCTTCTTGGCCAGTTTGTAAATCTGCTCCTTCATGTCGTTAGATGTCAACTTCAGCTACGTGGGTACGCTGTGGCGATAGGGCAGGGCCAACTGAGACAGGCCCTTCCCGGGAGCATGCATGCAACCCATGATGGCGGTGGCCTGGCAGCAAAAGGCTGTGTGACTTTTCTTCTGGTAAATTTAATAGCTTCACATGTCTCCATGGTGATATTTATTATCCTTTTACTTTTAGATTTAGTACTCCATTAAATATTTCTTGATGAATTAGTCTAGTTTCAGTCTAGAAATTACTTTATTTCTCCTTCAAATATGAAGGAAAGTTTTGTTGGGTATAGCCTTCTTGATTAAAATGTTTTCTTTCAGAATCTTAAATATGTGAATCCAACTCTTTAGCCTGTAAGGCTTCTGTTGAGATGTCTAAGGTTAGCCTAATCCTAATGGAGTGCCCTTGTATGTAACTAATCTCTAGCCATTTTTAAGATTTTTTTCTTTTTAACCTTTGACTCTTAACATGGAGAAGAAAAAAATATATATGCGTATGTACCTTTTTTGTTTGCTTGTTTTTTTTTGCCATAGGGCCCATGTACTTGACAGAGACCATCAGAGAGGGGGGAAAGTGAGAAATCTCCCTCTGGGTGGGGTGGGATGGTCAACCACAATCATTTCGCCATTCTCCTCTTGGGATTTTGGGCACACACACATGCACTCAGTGTGATTTTTAAGACATCAGTTCCGGAATTGAACTACAGTCAGCCAAGTGGAAGAGCAAGGCCTTAACCATGCCACCTACTGGCCCCCGAGAAGATATTCTTATGTTGAATCCATCTGGTGTCCTTTGTAGGTTTGGGAAGTTTTCAATTAACGTTTTATGAAATAACTTTTTAAATGCCTTTTACCATTTCCTCACCTTCTGAAATAAACATTATATGGCTATTTGGTTGTTTGATTGTATCCTGTAATTTCCATATATTCTCATTTTTTTTAAAGAGAGATTTTTGTTATAGAGTATATGCACTCACTGGAGAGACAGAAAGCAAGAAATCACCCCCCCCCCCAAGGGAGATGGCCACACCACAATCCCTTCTCCATTCTCCTCTCAGGACTTTGGGCACACATGCATGTGCTCTCAGCATGAGCTTGCAGTTGCTGGGTCCAGGACTTAAATTGCAGTCAATTATGTGGGAGTCCATCAACATAACCATTACACATCTGCTGGTCCCTACATTCCCATTTTTATGGTTATTTTTTCTTTCTTTTTGACAGTTTGGACTATTTCAAAGGTTGGATATTAAAGAATCTTCTGCCTGGTCTAATTTGTTTTTGATGCTCTATCATTTTTAATTTCCTATATTGTATTCTTCATCTCTAGGTTTTATTTTTTAAAATGTCAGTCTACTAAATCTCTCTTCCAAGTCATATACTATTTTTCTCTTCTGAAATTGTCTGTGTTTTTTTGTATCTCATTAAGTTTCCTTACTATTGCAAGAAATCACCCTCCAGCGGGGGTTGGCCACACTGCAATCCCTTCTCCTCTATTCTCCTCTTGGGATTTTGGGCATACAAGCACATGCACCTGGCATGAGTTTCAAGCTATCAATCTGGACTCGAACCATGGTCTACAACCTGGGAGTCCAATGCCTTAACCATTATGCCAACTGCTAACCCCACCATCACATTCTAAAATCTAGTTCCAACAATGCTGGGATTTCCTGCATTTTATTTGTTGTTAGTATTTAGTATTATTTTGGGAGGGAAATATGTCCTTGTTTTTTAATGTTCTTTGTGCCCTGCATTGGTTATTCAGTATGTGATGGAATACCTAGTTCATTGTAATTTCTGATTTGGTTTTATAGTGGCAGTATTTTTTTTCTTTTAATTTGGACTCTTATTTATAGAAGACTTTGCATATTCTGCCATCTCACCATGGAACTTTGCAGCTATGCTGATCATTTCCTGAAGACTGTTTATATCTTTAACATTAAAGCATTTAACTCCTGGATGCACTAGTTTCAGAGTTACAAGGATCAGAGAGAAAAGAGGCCTTTTAGTAGCCCTTCTTCACCTAAAGTCCCCTGCCCAGTGTATGGTACAGCGGGGCTGTTCAGCCTCTACACCCCACCCGATCCTGCAGGTTCAGAATTAGAAGAAAAAAAGAGAGAAACTCCTCTTTATAATTCCAAACCCAACAATCCAACGGTGGATACCACATTTCCATCCATGACAGAACAGGGAAAATGGCACAGAACTAATTCACAACAAAGAGAAGCACAGAAGCACACAGAAACCTATTCCAAAGAATTAGCAAGAACTGAATACAGCACCAAATGACTAAAGGTTACAGTAGAGCCTCAACTATGAGAAAACCAGGAAATACTTTACCTGCAAGGGAACACAATAACTTGTTTCCAACAAAGGAAAAAACAGAGGAAGTTACTAAAATGTCAGAAATAAATCAGAATATTGGGACCAGAAGTTGGCATAATGGCTATGTCACTGGACTCCCATGTAGCCGACCACGGTTCGAGTCCCAGACTCAGGGGCCTAAACTCATGCCGGGCGCTTGTGCGTGTGTGCCCAAGATCCCGAGAGGAGAATGGAGGGAAGGGATTGGGGTGGGGCCATTGCCCCTGGGGGGGGGGTTTCTTGCTTTTCTGTCTGTCTCTGTCTTCCTGGTGAGTGTACGTACCCTATAGCAAAAAACCTCTTTAAAAAAAATAATAATAATTTAAATAAATAAATAAATCAGAATATTTATCATAAGTAAACCTAATAAGATGCAAGAGAAAACAGACTACCAAGTTCAGGAAATAAGAAAATCATTCCATGGCTTGAAGGAGAAGTTCCAGAAAGAGACAGCATAAAAAAAGAATCAAATAGAATTTCTAGAGATGAAGATTATAAGAAATCAAAACTTCCCTCAAAAGTATTAATAGCAGATTAGACTATGCAGAAGACATCTCTGGTTTAGAAGACAAAAGCCTCTGACTTAGAGCTGACCAAAAAAATTAGAAAATAATTTTTAAAAAAGTAAGGACAACGTATGGTAAATACTAGATACTATTAAGTGCCCAAATATCAAAAAAAATTGACGAGGGCAAAGAAGATCTATGTCATGAAATAACTGCAGAAAACTTTCTAAACCTAGAGAAATATTCAGAAACCAGAGAAAGGAAATACAAAAGATGCCAAACAGAATCAACAGAAGAAAATCCTCTCCCTAGTACATTATAGCCGGAGTGGTAAAAATAAAAGACAAGAGTCTAAAAATGGCAGGAGAGGAAGATGAAGTTACATACATAGGATAACCTATTAGGCTAAAGTCAGACCTTTCAACTAAAACAATGCAACCTAGAAAGGAATAGGCAGGCATATTCAAAATTCTAGAAGACAATTTCAACCAAGAATACTATACCCAACAAGATTATCCTTCAAATAGGAAGGAAAAGGAAATCATTCTCAGATACACAAACCTCAAAGAATTTACCAATACTAAACCAGCTCTTTAAGAAGTACTTAAAGGAATATCATATCAGGAAAGCTAAAGAGAGACAATCAGAAATGAAAGAACACAATATAACCAAGAAAATGGCTTACAAAATGACAGGAATAAGTCCACAAATATCAATAATGCTGAATGTTAATGTATTAAATCCTCTAATTAAAAGTCACAAACTGGGGACCAGAAGTTAGCATAATGGCTATGTCGCTGGACTCCCATGTAGTCAACTGCAGTTCAAATCCCGGACCCAGTGGCTTAAACACACACCGGGCACTTGTGTGTGAGTGCTCAAGACCCTGAAAGAAGAATGGAGGAGAAGGGATTGTGGCGTGGCCATCCCCCCTGGGGGGGTGATTTCTTGCTTTCTGTCTCTCTGTCTCTGTCTTTCTGGCAAGCGCACATGCCCTATTGCAAAAACCTCTCCAAAAAAGAAAAAAAAATACATAGACTGAAAATGAAGGTGGAAAAAGATATTCTATGTAAAGAGAAATCAAAGAAAGGGTGGAGGTGTGATACTGATATCAGACAAGATAGACTTTAAGACAAAAACTGTAAAAAGAGACAATGAAGGACACTATCATACAAAAAGGGCTAATGCATTAAAAAAAATATAGAACACTTGCAAATATCTATGCACCCAACAATGGAGCACCCAAATACATGAAAGACAGACTGCTTGACCTAAATAAAGGGAGAGAGAGATTGCAACACAGTGATCATTGGAGATCTCAACACCCGTTGTCTCCTCTGGACAGATTCTCTAGACAAAAATGCAGCAAACAGATACATGATCTAAATGATAACCATAAATCATATGTACTAGACAGACATCTGTAGAACTTTTCACCCAATGATGATAAAATACACATTTTTATCACCCCAAATGGAACATTTTTGGAGAGACCATGTTTATAAATTCAAAAGTACAGGAACTATAAAAAGCATCTTCTTCAACCACAATGAAATTAAACTTGAAATTAACTGAAGAACCCTTAAAAATATACACATGGAAACAAAACAACCTTCTCCTGAATGACATCACAACCACTGAAGAAACTAAGACTGAAATCAAAGGATTCACTGAACAATGATAATGATGAGCACATGAGTTTTCATAAACTACGGTACACAGCAAAAGCAGTCATAAGAGTTCATAGCAATCGCAATTAGTGCCTAAAAGATTAAAAAGAAAAATTAAAAGGAGGAAAGAAAAAAAAGAAAGGTGGCAAACAGACAACCTAACAACACATTAACACATTTTAGGGAACTGGAAAAACAGCAATAACAAAACAAGAACAAGATACCTGAAAAACAGAAATAATACTATGAGCAGTTACACACCAACAAACAAAACCTAAAGGAGGTAGGAAAATTTCTGGATACACATAATTTACCAAGATTGAACTAAGAAAACATCAAAAGCCAGAACAGACCAATAAGCAACAAGACTGAATCAGTAATAGTCTCCTGGGACCAGCAGGTGGTGTGGTAGTTAAGGGCATTGGACTCACACATGACAGACCATGGTTCAAGTTCTGGACCTGGTGGCTTGCTTTCTCTCTCTCCCCCTACTGTGATAAAATTGAAAAATAAAGTTAAATACAATAATAATAATTTTTAAAAAAGTCTTCCAACAAAGAAAAGCCCAGGTCCTGATGGCTTCACTTCTAAATTCTACAGAACTTTTAACCAACTAACCCTGATTCTCCTCAAACTATTTCTAAAGATCCAAAGAGAAGGGAACCCCCCTGCCCCCCCCCCAAATTTCTATGAAGTCTCCATCACCCCTATCTCAAAAACAGATAAGGGCATAACAGAAAAAGAAAACTACAGGTCAAAAGCCCTCATGAACACAGATGCAAAAATTCTCAAAAAGATACTAGCAAATTGTATCCAGCAACACATTAAAAAATAATACACCATGACTGGGTAGGCTTCATTCCAGGGATATACGAGTGGTTCAACATAATAATCTCATTAAAATAATAAATATATTACATTAACAGGAGGAAAGGATAAAAATCATATGAATTCATCAATTGATACAGAGAATTTGATAAAATACAACATCCCTTCATGATTAAGAATCAGCAAAATTGGCATAGATGGAACATTCCTCAACACAATAAAAGCCATCTATGTGGGACCAGCAGTTGGCATAATGGCTATATTACTGGACTCCCATGTAGTCAACCCTGGTTCAAGTCCCGGACCTGGTGACTTAAATTCATGCCAGGTACGTGTGTGTACATGCCCAAGATCCTGAGAGGAGAACAGAGGAGAAGGGATTGTGGTGTGGCTGTCCCTCCTGGGGAAATAAATAAATAAAATAAATAAATAAATAAATAAATAAATAGCCATCTATAACAAACCCACGGCTAATAGCATACTGAATGAGGAAAAGCTAAGAGCTTTTCCACGAAAAACTAGAACATGACAAGTCTGCCCACTTTCTTCACTCCTTTTCAACATAGTACTGGAAGTCCTAGCCAACACAGTCAGACAAGAAAGTAAAATAAAAGGCGTTCAATTAGGAAAAGAAATGAAATGTCTATTTGCAGATGATAATAATTATACACATAGAAAGCAATCCCATTTACAATGGGCACAAAATGAATAAATCTAATCAAAAGGTGAAAGATATCTACAAGGAAAACTATGAAAAACTTTAAAAATAAATTGAAAGTGACACAAAAGAGAGACAAGATATCCCAAATCATAAAATTCATCTGGAATCATAAAAGGATCCATATTACCAAAGCAATACTGTGCAAGAACAATAAAGTAGGAGGCATCTCACTTCCTGACCTCAAAATATATTACAAGGCTGTGATAATCAAAACAGCATGGTATTAGAACAAACAGCTGGTATTATCACTTACAAAAGTGTTTGGAACTTGATAGAGCTTATGTTGAAATTATTTTTATGTTTTAGTTCTGTTTTCCAGAAACTTTTTGATAACTCTTATGCAGAGTAGCGCTTAATCATTAATAATAAATTATAAAACTCAAAAAGAGAAAGTAATAATTTTAAAATATACTATACCTTGAATTTTCTTTCATTCCTTTATTTGAAGAGCGTAGTCGGTTTTGAACCTTGTTTACAGGAATAATGTTTTTGGTCTTTGGCTATAAGAATTTAAATTATTGATTAGATTCTAATAATTTGCTCAGAAAAGCCATTTTGTAACACATGGAAATACTTTTCTGCTACACTATTACATACAATTGCTATTTTCATGGAATTAGACAAATGTGTGTCTGTGTGTATATATACATATATGTATGCATACATATACACATGTGTATATGTACATGTGTATGCATATTTACATGTGTGTACACACACAAACATATATGTGTGGTGCTAGAGGGTGCATGTGCTCACCAGAGAGGGACACAGATGGAGAGGAGAAAGCATCTTCCAGGTGAAATGATCACACTGCAATCCCTTCTCCTCCATCTCTCCCTTTCAGGATTTTGGGCACACATACATATTGGCATATTTCTCAAGCTGCTAGGTCCAGGGGTTGAACCATGAGGTCAGCCATGTGGGATCCAGCTGCTTTAATCACTAAGCAACAGAGCTGGCCCCCAATTATATTTTCAAGAAACATAGAGCTGTACAGTTGGCAAAAAAAATCTACCTATCACCAGACTAAGAAATTTAAGAATAAGGAAGTGAGACCCAAAGATGCAGCTAGCTAGAGGAATGTTAAATCCAGATGTTCTGACTGAAAAAAATTTAGTTCTCCTCACTAACCAGTTCTTTCCCCAGAGAGGCCTTCTCTGGCCCTCATGTACACAGTTCTCTGGGCCTAGACTGCTATAGGAAACTTGTAGATCCCCAAAAGGCCAGCATCTGGGAAACTGACTTCTACACCATAAATATTTAAATAAATGCAGGAACCTTGAAATAACTTTCTTTTTATATGAGTGTCTTTCTTCTTCAGGTCTTCTATTTGATTTACACTTTAGAGAGAAACCCACAAAACTTCCAGTTACACACTTATTTCAAATAGAATTCTTTTCTCACTGTAACTACAACTATTCAGTGAAATTTGGAGACATTAAAAGATTCTATTTATTTTATAGGCGACATTTCACAAATGCATTCCTTCTGAGTATCAAAAGTATATCATCTATTTCTATTGAGTTCCTTTTCTGTTCTAAGAAAAGATTTTTTAGGGAACCAGCAGTTAGCGTAATGGCTATGTCGCTGGACTCCCACGTAGTCGACCGTGGTTCACGTCCCGGACCCGGTGGCTTAAAACTCACGCCGGGCGCGTGTGCGTGCGTGCCCAAGATCCCGAGAGGAGAATGGAGGAGAAGGGATTGCAGCGTGACCATCCCCCCTGGGGGGTGATTTCTCGCTTTCTGTCTCTATGTCTCTCTCTGTCTGTCTGGCGAGCGCACGAGCCCTACAGTGAAAATCTCTCCAAAAAAAAAAAAAAAAGATTTTTTAAAAAATAACCTACATTCTATAAATGTATTTACAGCAAGTTTTACTTCATACCTTAGTTTCTGAATGTAGATGAACTATCCCTTCAGATGTTAATGGACCTCTACAGACCAGAAATAAACATTATATGTTAATAGATGCTAAGCAGACACATAATGAAGTTCAATGGCATTTTTTTTTCAAAAGTGGAAATATGCAAGTATCAGGTAGATTTTGCTATGTTCCAGTTATTCCCATCCTTCTTTATTTTGAACAAGTTTCATATACAAGAAAAGCTCTTTGGTTAAACAGTTTCCCTTTGAGAAGATATACTATAATAGCAATATTTTTTGCAGAAAAATGTAGCATAAATTTAAATGAATGAAAACTATAAGGATCATGGGCTACATACAGGGATGATCCATTTTACAAAATAATTAAACATGGGGCCTTTATCATGCCCCCCACTTGATGTTACCATTCTTCTAATGCATTGGGTCGTCAGAAAAATCATAATACATTTTTACACAGAAAACCAGAAAAACATGTCATAACTTTCCCAATGACTCAATATTTAAATACTTGGTTAGGGGACCAACAGTTGGCGTAATGGCTATGTCACTAGACTCCCACGTAGTCAACTGCAGTTCGAGTCCCAGACCCAGTGACTTAAACTCATACTGGGCACATCTGCGTGCGTGCCCAAGATCCAGAGAGAACAGAGGAGAAGAGATTGTGGCATGGCCATCCCCCCTTGGGGGTGATTTCTCGCTTTGTCTCTCTGGTGAGCTCACATGCCCTATAGCAAAAACTTCTCCCAAATACATACATACATACTTGGCCAGAGTCTGTGTTCATCATTGCACTGTGAACTCGATAATGGTACAGATCAACCTTATTCACTGCTCTATGCTTAGTATTCGGCATAGCACCCACTGTGAAAGCTCTTAAATGGCAGTAATACTAGAATGAATAAGCACAACTAAATGCAATTCATTTTCATGCATGATGTTTTCAAAAATGTTTGTACTTTAAAACACAGTATTTGTGGGGATCTTCAAACTATGTCCCATAGGCGAAATTCCCCCATCCCATTTGTTTACTATTGTCTATGGCAGTTTTCACATAATAGCAAAGTTAAGTAATTGTAACAGACTGTATAGCCCACAAACTCCAAACTATTTACTATCTGGCCATTACATAAGTATTTGACTATCCCTGACCAACTTTCTTCAGCATCTGTGTTAATATCTCTGAAAATGCACCACGTTAGTATTTATTGTTGCTATTAAAAAAATACCATATGGGGACCAGCAGTTAGCGCAATGGCTATGTCGCTGGACTCCCACGTAGTTGACCGCAGTTCATGTCTCAGACCTGGTGGCTTGAAACTCATGCCAGGCACGTGTGCATGCGTGCCCAAGATCCCGAGAGGAGAATGGAGGAGAAGGGATTGCGGCGTGGCCATCCCCCCTGGGGGTGATTTCTCGCTTTCTGTCTCTCTGTCTCTCTCTGTCTGTCTGGCGAGCACACGCGCCCTATAGCGAAAACCTCTCCAAAAACAAAAAATACCATATGCCCCAAGAACTCTTAACTAAAGGACATAACAAAACTGCTTTCCATCAGATACCATCTGCTGAGCTAGTCATGTATAGGTATTTTTTATATTAAACACAAAGATATACTTAGGTAATATTAAAAACAATCTCTTAAAATACTACTAGAAATACCTCTAGTAAGGGGGAAAAAAGGCTTTCTGATGATCATCAGATTAGAGACTGAAGAATCATTCTCACATATACCATGAAAATATTTTCAAGTCCAGCAGTTGGCATAATGGCTATGTCGCTGGATTCCCATGTAGTCAACCACAGTTCGAGTCCTGGACCTGATGGCTTAAACTCACGCCGCGCACGTGTGCATAAGTGCCCAAGATCCCAAGAGAAGAATGGAGGAGAAGGGATTTCAGCGTGGCCATCCCCCCTGGGGGGTGGTGATTTCTCACTTTCTATCTCTCTCTTTCTGGCGAGTGCACACCCCCGATAGCAAAAACCTCTCAAAAAAATTTTTTTAAAAGAAAATATTTCCAATTATTATACAAATTTTAAATATCATCTTTATCTGCCTATCAAATTGTTTGCCATTTCCTTAGATTTTTCTGTATCTTCTGTTGTACCATCTGCCCCTACCACATAAACATACATGTCAGCCAAAAAGTACTTAAACTGTCTCCCACAGGTTTTATAGTGATATTACTTTGCCAGTGCTTTTCCATGAAAAATATACAATAGAGTATTCTGTTTACTTGTGTTATTTTTACCCACGAAAGTTTTATAATAATGACTGAAATGATTTGTGTGTTAAACCTTGCTTCCAGCAGACTGAAGAATTGCTTTACTACTACAGTCATGGGCCAAATAACTGTTTCTATCAAAAACAGTTGTCCTGGGACCAGCAGATGGCATAATGGTTACATCACTGGACTCCCATGTACTTATCTGCAGTTTAAGTCCCAGACCTGGTGGTTTAAAATTCATGCCAGGCACTTGTGCATGAGTGCCCAAAATCCCAAGAGGAGACTGGAGGAGAAGGGACTATGGCGTGGCCATCCCTCCCAGGGGTGGTGGTGATTTCTTGGTTTCTGTCTGTCTCTATCTCTCTGGCAACCACATGTATCCTATCAACAAAAAAAAAAAAAAAAAAAAAAAAAAAAAAAAAAACCCCCCCCCACACAAACACACACACACAAAAAAAAAAAGGGGGCAGTGGTCTCTTGGGCTACCTTATATATGTATCTTACATGTATATTCATATATTACATATGAGTATAAGTAGTTTTGTGCTTTATGTATGCATACATATGTGTATCAAATGATGATGTAAAATTATATTTTGATAGATATACTTAAAAAAATTTCAAAAGTAACACACTAGGCATTAACTTCCGGAGAACAGGATCTGGTCTATTTATTTACCACTGCAGTATCAATAGCTATACTTAGCACTAAAAGTTGTCAAAATTTTTTTCAGTTTTGTGATATAATTTACTATCACAAAATATACCATTGGGGTATACAGTTGTTGATTTTTGTTTGTTTGCTATAGGGTGCATACCCTCACTGGAGAGAGAAAGAGAAAGTGGGGGTAGGGCTGAGCAATTACCCCCCCTCCCCCCAGGGAGGCATAGCCATACTGCAATCTCTTCTTCTCCATTCTCCTTTTGGGATTTTAGGCATGCACACACATATGCCTAGTGTGTTTTTCTTTCTTTCTTTTTTTTTTTTTGGAGAGATTTTTGCTATAGAACACGTGTACTCATCAGAGAAACAGAGATACAGAAATTAAGAAATCATCCCCCTGGAGGGATGGCCATGCTGCAATTTCTTCTATTCTCCTCTTCGGATTTTGGGCATGCAACACATGCACCCAGTGTGACTTTGAAGCCAGCCACAGTCGAGTACGTGAGAGTCCAGCAATGTAATCATTATGGCATGTTCTGGTCACCCTGGTGATTTTGGTTTGTTTTGCTTTTTTGGAGGGGTTTTTGCTATAGGGCACGTGCGCTCGCCAGAAAGACAGAGACAGAGAGATAGAAAGTGAGAAATCACCTCCCGGGGGGGATGGCCACACCGCAATCTCTTCTCCTCCATTCTGCTCTCGGTATCTTGGGCACGCACACACACACGCCCGACATGAGTTTAAGCCACTGGGTCCGGGACTCGAACCGCAGTCGGCTACATGGGAGTTCAGCGACATAGCCATTACGCCAACTGCTGGTCCACCCTGGTGTGTTTTTCAAGCCACCACATTCAGGACTTAATCTACATAACTGGCCATGAAATCGAGCTAGAGAATTTTTCCACTGGATGAAAAACTTCCCTCATGTTCCTTGCTACTTAGTACTTGAATGCATACACTTCAAGCCCTACATAATCGGTAATCTGATTACTATCTCTAGTTTTGCATTTCCTAAATGCCAAATGTAGTCATTTTTTATTATGACCTCTTTCATTTAATATCCATGTGGTTACTTTATCAATAGTATCACTTTTATTACCAAGTAGTTTCCTACTGCATAGAGAGATCTTATTTTTTTGATCCATTACCATTTAGTGGATATGAGTTGTTTGGCAATTATGAATAAAAATGCTCTCAAATTTGCATCCAGGTTTTTCTTAGATATAAAGTCTTTCTTTTGGGTAAATACATAGGGAAAAATGTTGCAAAATTGTATGCAATAATTATTTATGATGAAATGGATAATGTTCCAAATTTCACATAGGGGCCAAATATACTACCATTTTGGTCACACGTTTCTTTTGTGTTTCTAAACTCAGCCGGTGGGGCCGGCAGGTGGCATGGTGGTTAAAGGCACTAAACTCCCAAATGGCTAATTATGGTTCAAGTCCTGGGCCTGGTGGCTTGCTTTCTCACTTCCCCTACCCTTCCCCACTCTGTTCCTCTTTGGTCAAATTAAAATAAATAAAGTTAATTCTTCAAAAAACTTTCTAAACCAAGTAAAGTGTTTAAACATTATGCACTTTTAGGAAGGAGTAGCTTGTTTTAACATTTAAACAGCCATGGGGCCAGATGCTGGCTTGGAGGTAATGCAATGCTCTGTGAGGCTGACCCCTATGGGACAGTTCCAGCTTTACATCTGGAGACCTCCCTGAAATATGCTAGGCATACACCTGCATGCCCATAACCCAGGACTGGCTGATGCTGAGGGTGTATTGGTGCATAAGGACTCTGTTCAGGGTATCTATTTCTCTTACTCAGGGAAGAAAAAGATAAACTTTATAAAAAGATTTAGCCACAGACAATTTTCACCTACTCCTGAAGATTTTTTGCTGGTATACTCCATTCCATGCCAATTAGTTCTATGTGCTATTAACACACCCACAGCTTTTTCCAAGACTATAATCCTTTACTGCATTTCTTTGTTTTACCCTGAACCTCTCTTTCTCTATTTAAAAATGGGTTAGGTTGGGATCAACAAATGATATAGTGGTTTAGGTGCTGGATTCCCACATGGATGACCATAGTTTGAGTCCTTCCCATACCTGGCAGCTTGAAAATCACGCTGGGCATGTGTGCGTGTGTGCCCAAAATCCTGAGAGGAGAATGGAGGAGAAGGGATTACAACGTGGTCATCCCCCCTAGAGGGTGATTTCTTACTATTCTTTCTCTGTCTCCGTCTCTCTAGCAAGCACACATCCCTATGACAAAAAAGTTTTGTTTTTGTTTTTTTAAGAGCAATTTTTGCTATGGGACAAATGTACTCACCAGAGAGAGAAAGACAGAGAGAAATCATCCCTCAGGGGGCGTGGCCATACCACAATCCCTTCTCCGTTTGGGATTCTGGACACATGCACCTGGCGTGAGATTAAGCTGCCAGTCCGGGACTCAAACAGCAGTCAACTATGTGGGAGTTCAGTGATGTAACCATTACGCCATCTGCTGGTTCTGGCCAAAAAAAAAAAAAAATCTTTAAAAGAAAAAATGGGGAGGGTGGCAGCAGGTGGCGTGGTGGCTGGGGTGCTGGACTCACACATGGCCTACTGCGGTTTGAGTCCTGGACCTGGCAGCTTGCTTTCTCATTTTCTCCCTCTGATGACTACAGCAAGTTTAAAAATAATGGAAATAATTATTTTTAAAAACAGGGTCAGGTTAGGCTTCCATATGGAGCCTACATCTTTAGATAGAACTTTTTGCCTAACACACTATCTAACCAAAAAGTTTCACTAGTTGCTATTTAATCTGATCCTTGATCTGAGGAACTTTAATTATTTAATTAATATGAAAGGTGTTTTTTTTTTTTTTTAATTTATCAGGGGACACACACTCATCAGAGAGAAAGAGAGAGAAATGGAAAAAGTACCCCCTAATAAGGCATGGTCATGCCACTATCTCCCCTCCTCCACATCTCCATTCTCTTGGGATTTAGGGCACACATGCATATGAGCTTGACATGTTTTTTCAAACTGGCAGGTCTGGGACTTGAGCCATGCAATCAGCCACATGAGATCCAGCGACCTTAACCACTAGGTCAAAGAACCGGCCCCATAGAACATTTTTATTGATAGCAGTGAAGGACACACTTCTAGCCTAATTTTTAATCCAAGGCTGAATTTCAGTAGTCTTTGTTCCTTAAGGATTTTCTCAATTTTATCTCATAATTCTTAAGCTCTAAAAGCAGCTGACTCTAAGACACAAGCATAATAAAGACAGTGTTGTATTGGCATAAGGAGAGATATATAAACCAGGGGAAAAGAACTAGGAGTTCAAAAATAAAAACGTACATCTATGATCAATTGATTTTTGACAAAGGTGCCAAAACCATTCAATGGTGTCAGGAAAACAATACTCATCTCAATAAATTGTGTTAAGATAACTGGACATCGATGTGCAAAAAGACATAGATACTTATTTCATACCACACACACTCAGAATGTATCAAAAACCTGAATATGAGTTAAAACTATAATGATTTCAGAAGAAACCATAGGTATAAATTTTTCTGACTCTGAATTATTTAGATATTCTCTCTCAATGCTGCCTGCGAACCAGTCTATTTCCCAAACTTGTTTCTTTCTTATAATGGCTAACAGCAACAACACAGACTTTTTTTTCTTTTTAGACTTTTGTCATAGGGCACCTATGCTGGCTGAAGAGACAGAGTGGGAAAGCGAGAAATCACTACTGGCCCACCCCCTGCCAGAGAATGGCCAGGCCCCAATCCCTTCTCTATTCTCTTCTCAGGATTTTGGACACACACACACACACGTGCCTTATGTGTTTTTCAAGTCCCTGGGTCTGGGACTTGAACATGGAGTCAGCCATGTGGGATCTAGCACCTTAACCAACATGGCGCTTACTGGCCCAACAACATGTACTTTTTAAAAATGAATTATTTAACTTAATTTTATTAATCATTATTTTTAAAAATTTGAACAGAAAGAGAAAGAGAGAGAGAGAGAGAGAGCAGGAAAGTGAGAAAGCCAGCCACCAGGTCCAGAACTTGGGAGTCTAGTGCCTTAACCACCATGCCAACCTGTTGGCTCCAACAACATATACTTTTGATAGTCTACGTTACAACCTCTTACCTTAGAGCACAAGTTCATTAGACACCTATTCTGATTCCCAATTTACCATAAGTGAATTTTACTAAATTCACTGCCACTAGATTACATTAATTCTTTATCTTTGCAGACTCTAATATCGGTTTCCTTGCTGGCTACTAATTGCTAAACTAAAACCACATTTCTAGAGGTTCTGTTATATAGCACTCTATTTTCAGGACCAGCATCAATATTAATAAAGAGGCCAAGCTAGAGAGTAACTCCAAAATCTCAGTGACTTAACACATTCATTATAGCAGGAGAGAGAGAGAGAGAGAGAGAGAGAGGGCTCCATTTCTCAGGTGTTCCACATGTTCAACAGGCAGAGAAGTTTCAGCAACTGAAATTTCACTCATCATGGCAAAGAAAGTCAGCTGGAGGTAGTTCGCACACCAATTCTTGTCTGGTTTTGGCTTGGAATAGATTAATTTGAACTGTTCCACTTGCAGTCCACTGACAACTGGAGACTTGAAATGTTTGTTGATCACCATTGCCTCTGCTACAATAAGATTTTTACAGTTTTATTTACATAGATCCTACACTTTTTCTGTTAAGTTTATCCCTAGCTATTTTATGCTAATTTCTTGATATAGCAGAAGTCCACATAAAATTCAAGGGAAAACTTTTTGGTGTATTTTATCTTTACTACTTTTTAATCTTCACCTAATTTTCTTTCTTTTTTTGGAGAGTTTTTTGTTTTGTTTTGTTTTGTTTTTTTTGCTGTAGGGCCCGTGCGCTTGCCAGACAGAGAGAGACAGAGATAGAAAGCGAGCCCGCCGCGGGGGGGGGGGGGGGGGGGGGCAGATGGCCACACCGCAATCCCTTCTCCTCCAATCTCCTCTCGGGATCTTGGGCACACACACACACGTGCCTGGTGTGAGTTTAAGCCACTGGGTCCAGGACTCGAACCATGTTCAACTACGTGGGAGACCAGCGACATAGCCATTACACTAGCTGCTGGTCCCTCTTCACCTAATTTTCATATGCAATTTTAAAAGAAAGATAATATATGAGAACAGGTTTACCAATAGTATCAATTGTGGTTTGAATCTCAAACATACTTTCTATGTGTCCTTGGGCAACCTAATGAACCTAAGCTACAGTTTATAAAATAAGGATAATATTCACTTGAAAATAATACTTTCAGAATGACATGAGAAAAAGCAGGTAAAGGGGTTACACTGTGTCTGACTGGCATAAGTACCCAATTACTTTTACTTTATATATTATTCTTCAAATAACAGATCTTTCAATAATTGCATTAAAAAGATTTTATATAGTAAAAGACCCATATACATCATTGAAAAAAGCAAAGCAAAACAAAACAATGATATTTGAGAATTTAAATCACTTACCTTAAACTGTAATCATTTTCTTCTTTATATGACTTAATTTGTGCTGATATAGGCCTTGATTGGAACTCTTGCTGATCTCTCTAGTTAAAGGAGTAAAAAAGAAATCAGATAGGATATAGAAAAAAACACAAAAGGAAAGTATTCATAATGCCTTTCTGATCACTAATCATTTCAAAATTGTCCATGGTTTTTATAATATCAATGCACAAAATCCTAAATGCTATGGCATAAAAATAAGGTTGGTAACATTACAGTTTCTCCTTCATTTGGTCTGGACTTAAAAAACCCATCCCAAGGGAAAAATGTAAGCATCAAGCCTTTATATGGTATTTCCAATTCTTGCTCCCCACCACGAGAGTCTTCCATCTTAGGCAGCATACAATGGAAATTAGAAAGATGCACAGGAAATGAACAACTGCACTCATTTAATTGGTACAAAAACTTGTCTCAACTCAGGAAAAACTTCATTGCTGAGAAGACTATGAAAAACAAAAATGAAATACCAGGAGTAAAAGCTTTTGGTAAAGATATCAAGCAAGTAAACAAAAATTCAATATGACAAAGGTTCAGCTCAGTTGGCCTCCGTCAGGCTGGGGATGCACTATCCCCTTTCGCAGACCTTTTGTTACCTACTGTGAACTTTTTTTGGGGGGGTGGGGAGTCTTTTTAGGTAATTATATGAACAGGATACATAATAAATTCCTCATTCTATTATTGTATAAGGTCTGTTTGTACTAGTATCTTAAAGCTCTTCAGACACTGGCAAAAACTAAAAGATGTAATAAAAGTATTTACTTTTAGTAAAATACTTCATTACAAATGCAATTAGAAAATCTGCAACCATTATCCAAATAATTTGAAATACTATGTACATGACACATTTGTATTCCTACACAAATAATAATAGATTTGTATACACATTAGTTTTAAGAATAACCTAAATTTTAGTCCTTGGCTTAATCAATGCTAGTTCTGGTTTGGAAGGATTAAAAGAAAGAATTACAATTAAATTAGCATAAGAACTGATAAAAGTTTGAAAGCAGCCACTTTATTCCCCTAAAGACAGCTAATCTACCCTATCAATTAACAATGGAAATACTGATCATTAAAGAGGGATGCTTAGTGCAGGAATACTCTATTTGCTGTGAGAACAGAAAATAATATTCTTAGATACATTGTCTAGTGATATAACCTCATTATATCCTGTCTAACTATAAACATGATTGCAGTCTAAGAGAACTTACCTGTAACTACAGAGTTTAAGAAACCAATGATCGGCCTCACTACAGTGGCATGGGCAGTAGAATGCCACTGTGATACTGGAGCCAGCCACATGGGAGACCTAAGTGCAGATTCTGGGTTGATCTGAACACCCTGGGCATACCTACAAAGACCTGGGATCCTTACTAGCTGACAGGCTGGTGGGAGGGTAACAGCGTGGTGAGACCCTATCTGAGGTACCCCTACTGTCTGTCTCTTTCATGATAGAAATAAGCTAAAAAAATAAAAATAAATAAAGATATATATATATATATATATATATATATAAGATGTCAATATTAGTGATGATTATTATCCTTTACTCAACTTTCACGTAGAGACCATTTTTATTTCAATTTCGTTTGAATTATCAGTGTTTACTCTCAAATATTAATCTTAAGGTACCAGAAAAGATTAAATAGCAATGTTCTTAATTAATTATTGGAACATATAAATGGGAATTTATATTGGAACATATAAATGGAAACACTAAATTTCTTTAGTATCTTAGAAAATGTATGTTTACCAAATCCATATACACAAATATATACATATAACTGTACCTATTCATGTATATTAATGTTTGGTTTGATAAATCATTAAACTGAACATTTATGCTTTGAGCACTTTTTTGTACATGTTATACATAAAATTTGAAAGTTAAAAAAACTTACACTGAATCAATAATTGTACATTTAACTTACTATTACTTCCTCAGCTTGTCGAACCAGGTCAGCAGTTTTTGCCTCTAATTCTGCATTTATACGCCTAAAAGCAAAAAATAAGTTAGTAATTGCTCTATAATAAACAGCCTAACAAAAATGAAAATACTTAAATATCAGCAATTATAGTTTATCGAGTGACCTAAAAAACAAATGCTAAAATATACACATGACATAATTGGGGACACAAGTCTGGGATTTAGTGAGTAGACCCAATGTGGCTCACGCCTCAGCTACATATGTCAATACCAGCATCATCAGAAAGAAAGATGATTAATTCGGCCTTTACCTGCCACCTTTTTCTTTTTTAAAACAATATTCCTCAATCTATTTGGAATCTAACAAAAAATAGGAATACTATTTACTTGGATAAATCAGAACTGCAAGAATAACATCACTGAAAGGAAAAAAATTGAATACACTACAGGGTGTGTGTGCTCACCAGAGAGAGGGAGGCAGCGAGAGAGGGAGAAGGTGAGAGAGCAACCCCCAGAGGTGACTACACTGGAATCCCTTCTTCTCCATTCTCTGTTCAGGGTTTTGGGCAGGCACACACATATACTCTATCTCTCAAGTCACTCAGTACGGCACTCAGACCTCACAGTCAGTCATATAGGATCCAGCCATCATAACCACCATGTCATCAGCTGGCCCAAGAATTGTCTTTAAAGGAAAAACTCATAATTCTACAACCACCATTCAACCTTTATTATTATTATATTTTATTATTTATAATTTTTTTAATTTGCCAGAGAGAGAGGGAAAGTGAGAAAGCAAGCCACCAGGTATGGGACTTGAACCACAGTCAGCCATGTGAGAGTCCAATGCCTTAACCACCACATCACTTGCAGGTCCCATCCAATCATTTTTACTCTTACTATTCCTCTGCAATTTTCGTCTATGGCATATACAAAGTTTTAGACTGTTTTGCCACAACACAGAAGAACATATTTATCCCCACATAATCTTTTAAATTAGCACTTTATTTATTTAGGAGAGGTGTTTGCTATAGGAAGTGTGCACTCACCAGAGAAAGCTAGAAAGCGAGAAATTAATCCCTGGGGGAATGGGCCATGCCGCAATCCCTCCTCCTCCTCTATTCTCCTCTTAGGATCTTAGGCGCACACGTGCCCGGTGTAAGTTTAAGCCACTGGGTCTGGGACTCAAACTGCGGTCGACTACCTGAAAGTCCATCGATGTAACCATTACCCAATCCGCTGGTCCCTATAATTAGCACTTTAAATGGCTATATAATATTTCAATGAATTGCAGTTAACATAATGTATTAGTTCAAGTCCCCTTTTCACTCTTAGGTTAACACTATAATAAACATTTTCAAAAGCATATTACTATTTTATCCTATTGAAAGGTTACCTTTTAGACCATCTATGCTTTTTTCATTTATATTTACATTGTCCCACATTCACTTTACATATCAAAAAATTTTGCTCAAACTTCATAGTTGATAGTTGATAAACAACTTTCAAAATTTCAAAAATCTTAAAGATAATGATGTTCAAAATATTTCTTATAATTGTGTATAATTTTGTAGACCAAGTATGGTTTTAAATATTTGAGAAAATATTTACATGCCAACTACTCAAACTGTTGAAAAACAAACACCCAGCACACAATTCACACGTAAACCTGCTGAATTCAGCCCTACCAAGTATTCTGTGATATACAATCTGCTAACAAAGATCAGTCTCTTTATCTTCCTTCAAAGTCTTTCTCAAAATAATCCTTTGGTTGTGGCTGCTCTTTTGCAATCTCTACTGACAACTATACTAGACTGGAAAAGTCCAGGTTACCTTAAGATATAAATTCTTTCATATAGCTTCTCTAATCCTCTCTGCCAGGCAGAAATGTTTATGATGCCAAGACATCTTTCTAAGAGCTTCTGTTGGCTTTCTTGAGCTCTGTCTTAGTTCTATAGCTTTCTGGTTTAATCTTCAGATATGACATTCTAGTCAAAGCCCTGTCCAAAACAAGTATTTCCAATTTCAGTTTTTTTGTTTTTTTGGTTTTTTTGAGAGGTTTTTTGCTATAGGGTGCGTGTGCTTGCCAGAAAGACATAAAGAGATAAATCACCCCGGTGTGTGGGGGCGCAGGGCGGAATGGCCATGCCACAATCCCTTTTCCTCTATTCTCCTCTCGGGATTTTGGGCACACATGCACACGTGCCTGGCGTGAGTTTAACCCACCAGGTCCGGGACTCGAACTGTGATCAACTACATGGAACTCCAGTGACACAGCCATTACACCAACTGCTGGTCCCTCAATATCTGATTCAAGACAACAGGTATTGTTGAACTGATCCGAATAACTATTCTGCTACAAATTAAGATTACTCCCAAATATTTTCCAATTCCAGAGGGGTCAGGAAGGGAGAAAAGTTTATGTTTCCATTTAAAGAAACAAACAAGAAGAAAAAATATTTTTAATCACTAAACCTATCAACAGCTCTAAAGAAAGCAAAATCCTTAAATTGGGAAAACAAAGCCTAAGAAAAAGACAGTAATGTTTTATGCAAAAGTCATAAAATTCTATTCCACCAGTTCAGTCTTACGTAATTAATCTTTCTTCTGTTGAATTTGCAGCATTGCTTTGGTCCAATCTTTCCTTTCAAATCCTGGAAGTTAACATTCAACATTATTATTGATATTTCTTGTCCCTAGCATTAAGTTGGTCATTTTCTTGGTTGCTTTTTGTTCTCTTATTTCTGTCTGTGTGTCTTTAGTTTTCCTGATAAAGTTCTCCTTTCAGAACTTCTTTAAGAGCTGGTCTGGTGTTGGTAAATTCTTTCAGGTTTTGTTTATCTGAGAATGTTTTTAGCTTTTCCTCCAATATGAAGGATAATCTTGCCGGTATAGTATTCTTGGTTGAAATTGTTTTTTATTTAACACTTTGACTATGTTTTCCCATTCTTTCCTTGCCTACATTGTTTCTTTTCTTTCTTTCTTTCTTTTTTTTTTTTTTTTGAGAGGTTTTTGTTATAGGGCATGTGTGCTCGCCCAGAGAGACAGAGTGACAGAAAGCGAGAAATCACCCCCCAAGGGGGATGGCCATGCTGCAATACCTTCTCCTCCATTCTTCTCTCGGGGTCTTGGGCACGCACCTGCGCCCGGTGTGAGTTTAAGCCACCGGGTCCGGGACTCGAACCATGGTCGACTACATGGGAGTCCAGCAACATAGCCATTACTCTAACTGTTGGTCCCTGCCTGCATTGTTTCTGACTGAGAAGTCTGATGTTAGCCTGACAGCAAGACCTTTGTAAGTAACTTGATGTTTTCCTCTTGCCAATTTTAGAATCTTGCCTTTGTGGTTTTGGCCAATCTGGCTATGATCTGCCTTGGAGAGATCTTCGGTTGACTCTATTTGGGGTCCCTTGTATTTCTTGGGTCTGGATATTTGAATGCCTCTTTAAATTTGGGAAGTTTTCTTTCAGGATTTCAAGGAATAGATTATCAATGCCCTTATTAGTCTCTTTACCTTCAGGGATACTGATTTTCCAGATGTTTGGGTGCTTAATGGTATCTGGTATTTCTACTATGGTATTCTCATTTTTTTCTGGTTACTTTCTCCGTTTTTTGGGTTTTTTTCTAGGTCAGAGGTTTTTGCCTTTAATGTCTGAGATTCAATCTTCTGCATGGACTAATCTGCTTTTAGTACTTTTGAGGGAGGTTTTGATTTCCTGTATCGCAGCCTTCATCTCTAACAGCTCCATTTGATTCTTTTTTCTGATGTGTTATTTCTTCTTTCAGATAGTGCAAGAACTTCCTCACCTCCTGGAACTCCTCTCTTTTCTCCTGCATCTTCCAGAGTTCATTGTCTCTCAGCTCTTACATCTCGTTTAGTTTTGTTACTAAGAATATCCTGAATTCTCTATCAGACATTTCCACGAGTTCCAATGTACTATCTGGGGATGATGAAGTATTGTTCTTTTCACTTAGGGGGGAGTTTTTTTGTTTTTTTTTTTTTTTTTTTTTTTTTTTTTTAGGTCATTCTGTGACAAAATCTCTCCTCTACTGTGTTTTGCAATGTGGTACCCACAGAAAGAGGTTATGAGTTCAGAATTATAAAAAGTTTCTCCTTAAAGCAGGAGGTTCAATAAACGTTGAGGATTTCAATGACCTAACAGTATTCAGATGCTTGGCTACTGTGCACCTAGGCCTGTCTAGACACTCAATATGTGGAGACTAAAGAACAGAGTAGGAAAGTAAGGTTTAAAAAAAAAAAAAAAAGGAAAAGGGAAAAACTAGACAAAAATGACCAAAAAAGAAGAAAAAAATATTTTTAAAAGGTAAAAAATGAAAACTGTGTGGCGTGCAGGGGTCTAGGAGCTGAGGTTTAGACCATGACTTTAGTCGCCTTGGTCCCTAAACACACCAGGACACACCTCAGATTTAAAATGGCTTCTGAAATTAGCAAGAGAAAGAAAAAGTCAGAGGAGAAAAAGTGGTTTAAAAATTTAAAAAAAAAAAAAAAAAAGATAAAAAATTTAAAGGAGAGACAGAGACAGAGGTTGCCCTACCTTGAATGAGTGTTTTGGGGGTCTAGAAGATGAGGTTTATAGTATAATTTTAGTAGTCTTGGTCCCTGAACATGCCAGGACACATCTCAGATTTAAAATGACTTCCTGTCCGAGTGTTTCAGGGGTCTACCCATCTATGCTTTCCTGAAGCTATATGAAGGAAACAGGTTGAAGAATTTTTAAAAAATCAGACACCTTGTTCTTTTTCATACATACTTGATTTTGAAGTAACAAACCACTTAAAATCTTCACCCTCAGGAATAAAAGCAGGGGGTGGTGCTCTATCCCATCTTAAAACAGTCTAATAATTGTTTGTTTTTTAAATTACTGTTATTTTAATTTTCTATAGGTCATATGTGCTTAACAGAAGGAAACAAGAAACAAAAGTGTAAAAGCAAGCCACCAGTTCTGGGCCTTGAACCACTGTTGGCCATGTGAGAGTCCAGCATCCTAACCACCATACAACCTGCTAGCCCCAAAACAGTTTAATATTTTAAGTAATATTTTTTAAT